CCAACAAAATTTCTGTCACCTCACACTCCCAACGACTTTCCGGTAGAGGTACACAGTGCTGGGGCTTCGCAAGTCGTAGTGTGGCGCCCAACTTGACCACATGCAGAGCAACGCGACTTTCGTCGAGGCGCTGCGCCCCCACTCTCCACAAGCCGTTATTTGCCCTTCGGTCTGGTTGGGCGTTCACGATGTATACACAGGGGCCCAGAGTCTGACTTTTTTACCTTGTGAGATCGGCCCACGGTGGCGCACATGGCCAAGGATGCTATCAACATGCTGTGCTTGTCAGGGAACGTGCTCCCTTTGATCAAACTCGTTCTTGCGACGCTCTCTTCACCTCCTCACGTATTCAATCTGGCGCTCCTAAGAAAAGGGGCTCATAAAAAGGGGCATGTAAGGAAAATTCTAAAATAAAAGGGGTACGTAAGAAAAATTCTCAAAAAAAGACAGCGCGTTATTTTACGGACAACCTTAGGGTGACCCCACCGCCAACAAAATTTCTGTCCTAAAATTCCAACCACTAAAGTTTGGACCGATGGACTAAAGTTCGGACCGATGGAAGAAATTTTGAACCCCACCGCGCCACCATTTGTCCTAAAGTTTAGAATTTGGGAAGGATTCTTTTCCAAACCAAAATTATTTGGTCGAGATTTTTGTCCAAAGCGCCGTTTGGGCGAGCTTCGTTCTATAGTAACGGTACAGAAAACATCTGAATTTCATGTGCTTACAGCTCTACCAAAGCTCTTCCAAATGGCTTTGGGGCTGTTTTGACTGAAGTCCCATCAATAGTGTGGGACGCAAAAAGGAGTGTTGTGCAGCCTTCGCTCGTGGACATTTCCCATCTTCTCCCTCCTTCTCGTCTTCTGAGAAGTGCAGGCAATGGCTGAGGTGGTTACTAGGACTGATGACTCGGCATTAAGAGTGAGGAAAAAGGGTAAGGGACTGGGGTGGTCAGACGAGGAGAATCTTGCCCTGTGCGTTGCTGAGAGCGCAGTGTCTGAGAACGCCGCGAATTGAAAGCGTGGTGTACTTGCCGAGTTGATAATTCCCAAACAGGAGCCTACATATTGTGGAGAGCGGGCAAGTGACGAGCAAAAGTTGCCGCCAATTGTGGAACAGACGCGTGCAGTAGCTTGCTTCTTTGCGCCAAATGTATTTCTACGACATACTTGTAGCCTAATTGGGGTGACCCTGAATATGAATAGATGTATCGTGTTACAGGCGCGGTGGGGTTCATCTCTGAATCACCACCTCCCCCAAAGCGCGGCTTGATTAAAAGATAGTAGATCCAATTACCGGAGGACAACTGTCTGCTTTTTGCGATTTTGGGCAAGGCGCGGTGGGGTCACCCTTACTGTACCCAAGCTTTGGTACTGTACCCACAAAAACAAGGCAGGGCTTGCAATAATTAAGCTCCTTCACGACAAAGACGTGAAGGAGCTTAATTATTGCACCACCACTGATACAGTACAGTATCGCCTTCTTGTGTGCGCTGAACATCAAAGGAGACGATACACTTCGGATTTATGCACTGACAAGAAAATGTCAGATGATTCTAAGTTCCTAGTAGGAACTTCCTACCCAGCGTGTCAAATAGTTGCTGTCATTCAGTCGCAGCCCCCGCAGGTCCCACCAATATATATACTGCAGTTGATCAGTTGCTGCCCTATTAGCAGAACACCTCGTTCCCCAGTTTTGGAGGCAAACCACAATTGATGTGAGCAATATCAGCGTAACAACATCAGCGCAACTGCAGCATCTTTTCCATTTCCTTCTCTTACTGATATTGAATCTTGTTTTCTCCACTCATCCGATATCCACTCTCGTTCGAAAGAATGCCCCGTATTCGTTCAAACGGACCGTTAATACAGAACAATTTAAACATTTTTGCGATCCCGCATTGTCAGCCGCCTACATTACTGGGCTCGGAGCAGGTCGACAGGTGGGCAGACAAGCTTCTTTGAACAGCCAGCATTATCGCTCGTCAAATGCGCGTCGTTCTAATACTTCATCTCATTTCTCAAATCGTACCACTGTATGTAACGGGTCGCTTTCGTGTAAAGACCAGTTTGTGGCTATAATTACCTGTCAGTATCGGAAACTGCGATGATGAAGCTTTGAGTAGGACCTACGCAAAGTACGCCCAGCGACGTAGGGTTCTGGGGAAAACCCATGCGGAGCTCTGAGTGGTAGTTAAGACACCACCATCGCCATTGTTGACAGTGTCATTTGAGGCAAAAGTTATGGATTTATCCGCAACTTGTACCGAGGCAAAAAAGGCTTTCTTGATTGTCGTTTCGTTTCGTATTGTTCAAGATAGAGAATCGCATCAAGGATTCGGCTTTACTTTTTGTCCAGCAGAAGACGAGGGCATTTGTCACAACATTTTTTCCATACGCATCAGCCCCGAAACGAAAACATAACACCATTCGAAGAGCATCATTTATTGGAATGCTCTTCCTTCCTTCCTTCTGTTCTCATTTCGAGTTTTTTTTTTTTTTTTTTTTTTTTGGTAAGCGGTGATCACTGAAAATCCTGTTACTTGGTTCGAGTTTTCCAAACCCTTAATGACCCGATCCTGACTTTTATCGCCCAAGGTAGTACATCACATTAGTTTTTCTCGTTCTAGGAGAAAATTGTAATTCTGAGAGACTTGAAACAAATGCGGACACAGACACATGACTAGAACGCAAAACCTGACGGAAGAACAAAAATGTCTTGGCGTCCAGGCTTATTTGAGAATATCTAGTTCTGGTAGTTCTCCTGTAGCCTGATCCGTATTGGTTGTGGCAGAACTAGTTGGTTCTGTCTTGTCTCCAACTCTCGCTTCGAGGAGAGCAAGCTCATTCCAGGCCTGTTGAATCAGTCTCCGTTTTTCTTCTTTCTTCAAACCCTCATTAACTTTGTGTCGGGCCTTCTCCATGCATTCTCGAGCATCCTGGGCTTTTGTCTCAGCTATTTCGACAAGTTCATTTCCCCTTTTTATTTCTTTCTCATACACCTCGATTGCCTCCGCATCCGTTTGAAACGCAGATCCGTGCGATTCAATGGCAAAAAGGAATGCAATCGCTGGTTGTAGTTCTTCTCTTTGATCTTTCTTCATTTCTGCAACGATCCTGGCCTTTGTGTAAAGAAGATAATATCGCTTTTCAGCCTTTCGAAGCTCTTCATACAAAGCTGACATATCATCGACAGGATTCATGTGCAAATAGGAAATGGCGATAGCCAAGATTGAAAAGAATACTAGTTCCCTCGTTTTCTGGAAGAGACTTCTCTCGAATGTGCCTTTCACTTTGGCGATGACTAAAGCCTTTGCGTTCACTCACACTAGAGTCAAGGCGACCATACCACCTAGGCAAACAGAGCCAGTTTCTCCATTCTGTCTTTTTCTTCAATGCTCTTACATATTATATGCGGTAGTAACGATCTTCAGATCATGGTGTTTCCGTTTCTCAATACGGTCGGGGATAATTACTTCTTTTTATTCATTGTGCATGAGAATAAACGTTTCACACTTGAAGTTGCCGTTTACTCTCTATGGGTGAGGAAGCGGCAGACAGTTTATGGACATGAGCGCACCTAATCTACAAATTGTTTCTGACATGTCATCCAATACATGAACGGGCCTCAAAGAGTGAGCGCATGGAGAACCAATCGGTCCACTAACTGATTTCCATGTTCATATCGGACACCTTGTCCCTACTGAATATCCGTCAAGCAAAACTACATTCGAATGCAACTCGACATGGTCCGTTCGCTTAACTCTGGACCGAAATCTTCACTGTTAGTTTCCGAACAGAACGAAATGTTCCGTACAACTCAAGTAACATTGCAGAGGTGTCTTTAGCCGCGATGAACATTGGGTAGAGTGATTGTACATGACCAGGAAGAGAAAGGCTATGTTACTTCGGCTCGGAAGCCTACGAGTTGTTGGGACGCTTTGCAACAGGTGGATTTATACCGTAGTCGATTTGGGATGAGACTTAACCGTTCGCCCCAGCAGTCCACTTCTCGTTATCACTACCTGTGACATGCACAGGTGTCGCTTCAGCAGCTTCACACATCTCCAGCCCGCTGCACAATCTGAATTGTCTGTGCAATTCATGGCCTTCCGGGGAGAACAAATGCAACCATCTTCTGCGGAGCACGACCGTTTTAGATGTTCACATGATCGATATTTACGACAATCGCTGGAGCTGGTGCATGGGTCTCCATTGAGCCCTCTTGGGAAGAGATCAGGAGCATGAGTTTCTGGTGAACGAAGCGGATCTCCTGAGCTGCTCGGCTCGTCTTCTTCATCATGAGACTCCATCCTTGGAGACGAGACATCCATGCCGGGCGCCGATGTAGACTCAAACACGTCTGTATTCTCTTCCACAAAAGCAGCTGATAAGCAAATGTCCTCTGCCCCGCGGGAACTACCACACTTCTCGCCTTCGGGACATTCTTCGGAATATTCACATCGTACAACAACTGTTGGAAAGCAAATGCAAGAGCCACGGCGTTCGCATTCTGTCAATTTATCTACAGAGAGGCAAGTTCGATCATCACGGCACTCTTCATCGACTGTGCATGGGTCGGCTGTCAGCCCACCATCAATGTCAGAAGCAGGGACAGTTACCTGCGGGACGACGACATAGACTGGCGTTGCTGTCGGGAGTAGGAATTCTCCGAAAACGGCGCCCGTGTCAATGGCATATTGCTTGGAGACGCAATAGTCGTGTGGATAACTGTCTGAACTGATGCACACTTCTCCAGTGACACAGTCGGACGTCGACGAGCAAGTTGTAGGAGACCGTGGAATGCAGTTGCAATTATCTTTTCCTCGGCAGGCTCCATTGACCGCAACGCACACGCGATCGCCGATACAATCTCTCATTGTGAAACATGAATCGCCAGTTAGGCCAAGACTAACGTCTTGTACTGCTTCCATGGTACTCGCTGAAGATGGTTCCGGTTCTCCAGGGAAAGCTAGCGAATGAGACTCAGGCATGTCCCCTTCTCGAAGCATTGAAATGGTCTTTGTTAAATGCGAAGAATCCAGACCAGAGGCTAAACGCAATCGATGAGATGATCGTGTGAGCGGACGTCCCGTTGAGGCGCGGTTCTTGTCTGCACGAAGAATAGCATTGATCACGTCTGCTCCAGTATGGGTACTGGAATGAACTGACGAATGCCTCGTCAGAAGCTGATAAGGTGGTTTTGAGGACATTTCAAGCCCTCCGGCGTCAAACGACAAGCCATCGGGGATGCTTCGCGTTCGTCGCTCGGATCGTATACCATGGCCTAACCAAGATGGCGGCCTTGCATCGGGGCCAGCAACCGCGGAAGCGTGCGCAGTTAGGACCAGAATGCATACTGCAAATAACGAGAAGCAAGGCATGGCGTAAGGAAGGTGGGGAGCTGTCAGGGAATGAAGTGTCGGACGATAACGGGCGTGGGGGAACTTGCACAGAGAAATTCAGAGAAGAACCTTCTCTGGGTGTTGAGTATATGCGCTCGTGCGGAGACGTTTGATACGGATTGACTTCAAGAGTTTCTGCAGAAAGTGACACAATGCAAACAAACTCAAGGAGTTGCGGTCACCAAAGAGCCTACCCAAGGGTAGTCTTCGCTCAGCAGGCTACGCTACAACCATGCACATAGTGCACTTTACATGTTTGACATTCATAGTGGTGCGCACGCTGTAACACGTAAAGCAAAATTGTATGGCCAGCGGTGAATGAAAAATTGAAACGGTTAGGATCACGGCGGGATGGTAAGCATACGTGTTTGGTGCCCGCTAGCAGGTGACATGCGTAAAGATAAAGTGCGGCCTGGCGACGATCGCTGCTGCAGTGCTACACGACAAACGCTCTATGTTATATGAGAGCACCCTTTTGACCTGAAAATATGCAAAAATTAGGTAAAAGTCCTTTCTGTGCGGGTGCCAGATTTCCATCGTCTTCTTCGCGCCTGTCGGTTGAGTACATCTATTTTACTCCTCCACATGCTGCCCTTCAAGGGTACCTGTTTGCTTCTGAAGGAGCGCTTTTTTTCAGAGCGACCGGGGAGCATATGCAGTTTTCTCTTGGAGTGTATCAGTTGAGGGGGTTCCAGACACGTTCCTTCTCACATCGAGAAAAGGCGATTCCGGAAAAAGAAAGTAAATACTGGCTTCGTATGAGCATCTGACCTCAGATGAGGCGGTTATTACCTACCTAGACATTGGGCTGCGAGACTGTGAAATACTGCGATCCTGATACAGTTCGGTACCGCCTACAAGATTGGTATACTTATAATTCACATGTGTTTGCATTGCATACGTCGCACAGCAGTCTGTGGTACAGCATGTAATATACGCAAACAACCTTCGCATACGTATACTCTTCAGTAAACCCGCACACTTCGCGCACGACAAATACCTCGATCTAAGCTATGAAAGGCAAGCATCCACGTCAGAGGTGCAGGGGTTTCGAGTGAGAAAACCATGTTGCTACGCAACAGTAGTGTTAATAAATATAGAATTGTTGAATACAGAACTGTTGAATACGGAACTGTACTGTAAACTCCACATCTCTTTGTGAAACGATTGAAGCACAAATCACTTTCATCCATCTGTACAGTGCCTCCTACGATATAGTGCTATAGCGTGACATACCTCTAGCTATGGCACTATTGGAGGGATGGCACTATATAAAGGAGGCTCAAATACATATATTTGGGGACAAAGCACACTGCTAACACAAACACAACAAAGCCTGTATAACACAACTAAATAACTTCATCCTTTGAGTACTGAACCATGCCGGATGATACACGTGTGAGCTTATGATAACCTGTGCCAGAGGGTGAGCCATAGCACTACATAGAGGGAAGCACTACTAAAGTAGGCACTATTGAGCGACCCCCCTGTACCAGGTAGCTGTGGAACGGGACTGCCACGTGCAGATGGCTGGATATGGGACACTTCTTCTACTACAGTGCTGGCCAAAATGATAGGGACACAGGCTATTCGCACTGTGGCAGCCCCCTTTTGCTCCAATGATAAAAGAGAAGAGGCTCTGTATACGTATTGGGCGAGCTAAACGTGATGGAAAAGACGGTTTTATAGAATAAAAAAAAGCCTTGGAGCTATAACGCAAAAACGTGTTTACGGCATGGCCATAATGATAGGGACAACAAGAACTAACTCGCATTTTGGCGCAAAACGCAAACTGCGTTCCGCCGAAAGGCGTAAAGGCCATGCTAAGGCTACACTCGAGGGATCTGCAGACAGTTGTGCAGAAAACAGTCGGTTGGTAGCTCGGAGAAATGGGAAGAGGCAAAGTCCTGAGCGAGCACGAAAGGGGGCTTATCGCTGGTCTTTCTCAAGGCGGTAGAACCATTCGAGAAATCGCTGCTCGTGTGCAGCGCTCCAAGAACGTAGTTTCTAACTTCTTGCACGCGCCGTTGGAACATGGGAGAAAATAATCGCCAGGAAGACCGCAAAAGCTATCTCCCACCGACAAGAGAAGGTTACTTCGGGCTGCTTCAAATGAAACAAAAGGCTCTAACACGCTTCGTCAGGAGCTGGGACTCTCTGTTGCCTCACGGTCAATCCGCCGCACGCTGCACAACGACCCCAACTTCCAATTCAAGAAGATGGTGTCGGCTCCAATGATGCTGCCCCGTCATCTCGTCGCTCGTGAAAATTTTGCGAGCGAGAAGCTGACATGGTGTCCTGCAGATTGGTATAAAGTCATCTGGTCCGACGAGAAAAAGTTCAATCTCGACGGACCAGATGGCTTCGCCTTCTATTGGCACGACCTGAGGAAGGACAAGCGCATATTCTCGAGAAGGCAAGGAGGTGGGAATTCGGTCATGTTTTGGGGGGCTTTTTGAGGGACGAAGAAATGCGAATTGGTGTTGCTCGAAGGAAATCAGAACGCAGAGGACTACATACAGACATTAGAAAGTTATTTGCTACCGTTTATTGATCAGGAGCTGGACGCAGGATGGCTATACATGCATGACGGAGCTTCTATTCACAGAGCACATCGGGTCAGGCAGTTTTTTGAGGAGGAAGAGGTGCCGGTTATGGACTGGCCGGCAAAGTCCCCGGACTTAAATCCTATAGAGAATCTCTTGGGTCTGTTAGCACGTGCTGTATACGCTGGTTGTCGTCAATTTGACAACGTCGAAGAGCTTAAAGAGGCCGTTTGGGAAGCCTGGGATAACATCACAACGGACACACTGAAATCTCTTTTGGGGTCCATGCAACGACGCTGCAGGGACTGTTATCTTGCCAAGGGAGGTGCTACAAAGTACTGAGGTGAGCATTGCGCATACATGGGGTCCAGATAATGGGGTAGAGGTCTTGTCCCTATCATTGTGGCCATGCCGTAAACAAGTTTTGCCTTATAGTTCCGAAGCTGTTTTTTGTTCTATAAAACCGTTTTTTCTATCACGTTTAGCTCTCCCAATACGTGTGCAGAGCCTCGTCTCATTTATCATTGGAGCAAAAGGGGGATGCCACAGTGCGAATAGCCTGTGTCCCTATCATTTTGGCCAGCACTGTATGTACTAGATCAACAGTAATTCAGGACGTCAATGCAAACACGTGTAATACATGTACACCACAAAAACAGTCATGCCTTGTTTTTGCCTTCATGCTGCATGCTATGAGATCATAGAATATTTCTGGTTTTACAGCAATTGCTTTTCAGAGAAAGTAATCCACCATGAAGCCAATGCTTGAGAGACCACATGTAAAGGGTGGGTGCTGCAATTGTCGGACAGTGACAAAAAGATCGGACATGCAAAATATTTTGAAAATATCTCCGACACGGGCCAAGGTGCACCGCAGCGCGTAACGGCGCCAGACAGTGCGCCGTATCTCAGAACGACGTCGTTGAAATTAAAGAAAAAATATCTCAATCGATTGCTCACAGCTTTCTACGTACAGTATAAGAGTGTAACAACCCAAAAATACAAAACAGGCAGACTTTTCTATTCTTTTTTAATTTGCTTGGATGTCCGATCTTAGGGCTCGGTTGGGGTGCAAAAGTGTCTGCGCGCTTCATCGTCGTCTGTGTCCGTGCTTGTTTTCGCTAAGTCCCAGTGGACGAACGGCTGAGAGTGTCCCCGTCACAAAACATAAAACATGGTGATTGCTTGACAATTACAAGTACGTTTTCCTTTTAATATTGAGGTTTTTGTCCGACATTGAGAGCACCCCCCTTTATGCCCACAATGCAAACTTCCGGTCCCTCTCTGTAAAAAGGTCTGAAATCTTTACTCCCAAGATCAATGCCCCCTCTCCCTCTCAGGGGAGAGCGGCCAAACCGGGCGCTTATAAAGGGGTGAAGTTTACCCTTACAACCTGCCATATTACATGATAAAAAAATCGAAGCGATGTGGCTATGCCGCCGCCGCAACTCCCACGGGAGCGACCGTCTGCCGTGAAAGCGGCTATCTAACCTCAATAAGCATGTTGCCCACTGGAGCTCATATGCTCATCTACCCCAGCCCTCCGAGCTCATTTGAGCAAATCAAGCCACTGCAGGCCAGGAGGCGCATTGACGTGAGCTTCAATCTCACATCTCGAGCACGACTGCCAGGGTACGAGTTGTACGCTTGTTGCGCTCTCGCCCGTTAAAGCTCTTAGAATCTCTCTCCGGAGCAAAAAATGAAATCACAAGAACCGTACTTGCAGTCTTAAACACTGTGATTATGTGATCCCTTGCAACCTTCACACATTTTTATTTTTACTCATCAATAGTCCAGTCCTTGTATGAATGCGTTTCAATGAGTCAGTACAGGTAATGAGAACAAGACACCTACAAGGTATCGCACCACAACATAGCTTGTTGGAGGGAGGGTGAGGTGCATTGAATTGGAACAGGGACTGAAGAGCTTTACTATCCGTCCCTCATCTTTCTCTTTCAAGATGAGCAAGTGCGATGGTGCGAGGCAAATCAAAACAGAAAGGGCGTGGCAAAATGGTGAGGTGGACGACGGAAAGAAGACGGCAATCAACTGCACATTTGTGTGAAGAAAAGCCACTACTGAAAAGTTTATTTCGCCATGAAAAAAAACTGGATATGTGATAGACAGACGTGAATAAACAATCAGTGCGCAAGGTAGTGCACCTGACATGTAAAAGCCTTATGATTCTACGGCCATATCATTTGTGCATCGCATAGTTAAAATGACTCTTGCGACTTCTTGGTGCTGGGTAGGAAAGGAGGGTGATATCTATGCGGGCGGCCGCGCATGCTAAAGATGAAGGTGACTAGCATTTCGGATTTGTGCTTATCTCAATGAGAAGACCACTTGTGGGATCACAGAAGAAGAGCTGTGGCGGTAGAGCGAAAGCAAGAACAGACAAGACAAAGCAAAATTATGGTCAGAACCGTGTGCACCATGTGAACAAAGAGCGTTGAAACGGAGGAGAAAACGATTCTCAGCAGGGTCATTTCGGAGAAAGCATGGAAGATGATTGCATGGCTAAGGCGACCACGTGCAAACGCAGCCGGGCAAACCAGAGGTTAAGTCAGTCTGATATCTAGACAAGTCGTCACTTTGGTGAACCAGAACTGTTCCACCAGAGCGAGACCGATTGTCTTTCCGAGAGAAGATGTTTGAAAATAGAGAGTGGGAAGGATATAAAAAACTCACCTGGCGAAGATCGTCTTCGGGAAAGGTTCTCTCCAAATACTCGACACCATGGCGGTCCAAGGTCTCGATGACAAGATGCCAGTCGGAGCGGGATGGGATTTTATGCCATTGACACAAAAAGCTAAGATGGTCGGAGCGAGGGTCAATGGCTTTCTCGTTGAGGAGCACGGGGACCAATTGCCTCCTTGAGCGAGCACCCGGTGTGGGTTGGATGAAATGGATTTCAAGACCCATGCCACACAACCATGCGCCGTCGAATGATTGTTCGAAGGCTTGTGGACGTGGTAAGAGCTTGAAACCAAGAACTGTTTGGAAGAATTCAGCTGTCTTCGATGGAGAGGGAACAGCAAAGCTTATGTGGTTAATGGAACGCAAGGGGAGGGGGCGTTGCGGACTACGGGGGAACGCGGCAAAGGGTGTCGTAGGTTTTGATGGCGGTAAGGAAGCCAAGACGGAAACGGCTACGCTACCATGAGCAGAAGGAGACATATCCACGGACAGTAGTCTTCAAGAGAAGCAAGACAGCAAGGGCGGAGACGTTGGAAGATAGATAGATGACGACGACGGGTGGTGTGTGTGTGTGTGTGTGTGTGTGTGGTGGCGGTGGTGGTGGGAGTGAGACAGGTGTCGATGTGGGGAGGGGGCCCGAGGAGAGGGGCTTTATGGTGCTTGTTCGAAAGAAGAGAGGTTTCAAGAGTTAGGTTGCGCGTGAGCTGGGACGGGAATTCCTACGGAGGGCAAAAAAAAGAAAGTGCATGGATGGATGTCTCATGCGCATGCAAGCGGCAAAAGCTTGTGATTGGAGGTTTGAAGATGTGGAAACCAAAATGGCGAGGAATCTCCCCGTGAGGTGTTTGCAGACGCCCAATCACATTGGAGCGTGTGCGCCGGATAGGCCGCGTCGGTTGTGCTCGTCCGCGCATCACCAATATGACTTGCCGAATATCTACAAAAATCTCAATTACTTTTGACTTCTCACTCTCGCAGACAGCACACCTGACCGATGTGTCCGGAATCATCCCCGCGTCTTCGACTTACAGTACCCTTACCAAAGCCGCTTCCAGAGTACTCTACTTCTAGCTCCGCTGAGCCCCACTGTGAGACTGCACTCGACCACAACTCCGATCTTTTCCCACTCTCCACACGAGACCGACTACCAGGAAACACCTCAACTCCGACGTAACTGCTTTTACCGATAGCTTCCCCTATCCTGAGAAGCACAAGTCGGGCATGCCCTTACTCTTTCAATCTCTCACTTGCGTCCAGTCTGTCAGTGAGATTCTCTCCCAAACCTTGCCCTCAGCTCTGCCGTGTTTGACCGGTTATCGCCTTGTCGCTCCTTCGTTTTCTCATTTCTCGATTCGAACACTGCAATAGTCACTTCTAAACGATCTCTCTTTCTTGAAAGATCAAGCCGCTGATCACGTTTAATGGAAATTCTCATCTGACAATGGTACGCAAGCTTCGCCCATTGACACTCTATGTACCCCATCTGCGGCCGCGCCAACAACAGCCAGTCTCTAGCCTGCAAGCACGCATCCCCAACGACCAGCTTCCCATGGTCCACTTTCATCGCTTCCATCGGCTATAGCCAAAATCACATATCAACATCGCACATCAAATCCTTGGCACGCATGCCTATCACCACGATACTCTACCATCAACACTTCCAGTCAGCAGTCCATATCAAATTCATACACTCGTCAATCTAACCTCTTCGAGCACATACGTCCATACCGCAACAATTTGTTTCAGCGCAACTATTTCCACCAAGCAATGCAAAAGACAAAACCGTTGACAGAATTGGAAGCCCTAGTCCGCCCGAAATATGCATAATATAACAAAACCAAAGACTTCTCTTGCTATGCAAATCCTGGCATATCACGATTGTTGCTGTACTGGTAAGAAAGGTCAGCTTCACCAGACTGCATGCAAAGAAACCTAGGTATGCACATATACGAGAGTTGCTGCGGACAGGTGCACAACCTCGACCCCACGCCGCTAACCGGCTCCCGCTGGGACCCCTGACCACGTCCGCGGCAAGGAACACTTGCACCGCAAAACCAGAGAGCGAAGCACTTGTTTGCCAAGACAAAAATGAATATGAACGCAGAAAAACATTTTTCCAGCCAAAACTCTGCATCCAACATTGGTTAAAATATCTATCCATATCCGGAACGGGTGCTTCCCACTGCCGACCCCTCACTTTGCAAGCATTGTTCCAACTCCAGGGAACAGTCCGAAGCTTCGCATTGCATATCGCAAGCGCTGGCATACTGTACACACGCAATATCTGTGACGTTACCGGCAACCCGGCTTCACTCTGAGAATATGGCCACGCCTAGGAATGTGCTATGAAGAGACTACAGTGCCACCGCCACTTACTACATGCACAGGTACAAAGTCGTCAGCCGAAGAACTCGCAAGTCTACGTTGCGCATACACATCGATCCTTCCACCACCTTCTGCCACCACAACGCGATGCAATCAACGCCAGTGCATAGAGCGGATCTCATCGTGACTCAGTCTTCCACCAATCGTTTGAAGCAGCCCACGCTGCTCTTCCTCAGAAAGCTGTCTACACAATCCGAACGGAAGCAAAGGATCCTCAACGCCCCCAATCGCAACCCGTCTAAGTCTAACTACACGCAGCCCAATCTCCTTGATCATGCGACGTACCTCTCGGAACTTTCCCTCGCATAGTGTCATAGACAAACATTCTTCCTTCCCTGCGTTCCAGCCCCAATCCTTAAACTTAAGCACCTCATGGGTCTTCACAATATCTGCCTCCTCTGCCTTCCCAATATCCTTGCTATTTCCCAATCTCACACCCTGTCGCAATCTGAGTAAGTCAGCCTCAGCAATGCGATCAATAAACTTCGGTAGTCGCCTTCCGCTGACGACAACTAGGTATGTCTTCGGCACTCGGAATTCGGGCCGTAGCACGGCTTTCGTGAAGTCCCCGTCGTTGGAGAAAAAAAGCAAACCTTCCGAGTCACAATCCAACCTTCCTACGGGTTTCGCGTCAGCTTCTAGTAAGGGGGCATTGCGCTCATCACATCGAAGGACATCCATAACAGAAGGCCGAGTGTGCCTCTTGGATTGATCGGTTCCTCGCGTCGTGATACACCCAACGGGTTTCTGAAATACAAAATACGCGGCAGGCGCCGGACGAGGCAACTCGCAACCGTCAAGTAGCACCTGCGACGTGCCAAGATTTACGTGCACAGCACTACTCCGAACAGTAATGCGGCGCCCGCGATCGTGGCGTGGCACGATGGCGAGGCGCTGCGATGAGACCAATGCAGCAACGCGTTTGCGGGACGAAACAACTCCAGACATCGCGACGAGACGATCAACGGGAGCTGTGCTGGCACGATGCACACACGCACCACGAATCGGGTGTTTTCGAGCGCAACTTTGCGGCGTCGTTCTGTGCCCATTCTGGGAAGGCACGGGGCAAGGCGAAAGAAAAAGGAGTCCTGCTTCTACTGGGAAGACCGTCACATTTTGACAACCCCGTGATTTCACTGTTTTGATGATGCTCACTTCGGGCATATGCAGGAGAATATCCCAGTCGGATGCGCTGCGAAGAAGAACGAGATCTCTGCCGGTTACGACTAGGGCGGCAGTTGACCAGCGGTCTGCCGAAAGAATCTACTTCGCAAACACCCTCAATACCCTTCTCATTGGTTCTGTGTGTGTGTGTTAGGGATGTCAGACCCGAGCGGAAGCTGAGGCTCAGTCTCCCTGAACGCGCGCAGAAGAGGGAGCGGAACGGAGGTGATCGAGCGAGGCGAAGTGAAAGGCCTCAAAGCCACCGGGGGCCTTCTCTTCTGAGTGCGTGAGCAACCTCTGGGTTTCTAGTCCCATTAATTTCCACTTGATTGAGGGGCGTTCTAGTGTCTAGACGACAAGCAATTTGACCTCATATGAGGCCAGCTTTTTTTTTGCAAAAATATATAAATTAAATCGAAACTTTAAAACATTCAGTTTGGACACCATTTCTTTAACGAATACGCGCTCGGCAATAACATCTTGCAAAACATTGGGATGGCGGTTGTCAATGCACAGAGAGACTAAGAATCTAATGAAGTATCAATGATGAGTTGACTTTTTAAACAGGCGTTTTGGTTTCGAAGATATCAACATAAAACGTTTTGAGGTTGGTCAAAAAAGGCTCCTTTTTGGGCATTTTAAAAATGGCTGGAGAAGACGTGCAGATCTCACCAAACTCCACCCTTCCACGACGCAGAAGTCAACTGCCGTGTCGAGAGTATCTTTTTTCCATCTTGTTGAGCTAGCACAAGTCGAGAAAAATAAGTTGAAAAGTGACCTCATATCCCTAGAAGTCAATTTTATGTACGAAATTTCGTACACAACTGTTCTTTTGTCTGTAGTTCGCGAACTACGAAACGTCTACAGGGTACTTTCGAGCCTTCACGAGATTAAAATGCTGTCTACATCCGCGCGAAGACAGAAAAGGAAAATATTGATTCGTTCCCATTTGACAGCTCCGCGAAAGTTGCTCAATAATAACCTCACAAATCAGCCAAAATCCCTTTGTGTACGAATTTTCGTACATATGGACTACACAATACAGCAGATGTGGTGCGTTTGTGAGGGGCATAACTTCTCCTTCGGACTAGAAAACTCCCTCCCATTCCACTCTCGCATTCTTACACCGCACTCTACAATCCCTCCCGTGCTCTCCTGCTGCCATTCTCAGGGCACTGGGAGCGACTCTTTTCTGTTGCCCTGTTCTTGCTTGGCACTGAATCGGTTGGTCCTGACCGAGAGTGTGGTCACATCGTTCCACAACTCGGCATTATTGCGATGTCTTCCGCGCGCAGTCATGACAGCCGCGTTGTACATTTTGGGCTTCTTTGGAGACCTAATGGTCTGCAGTGACACAGAGCTTCTTTCGCTCGACGCGATAGACTCTTTACATCAACTTCATGGTGCTGATTGTCGGATGTGCCGAAACATTTGCAGTCGGATGAATTTGTGGTATTGAGGATCAAATCGGGTGCCTCGGATAGATACTGGTCGTTGACTACATGGTGGCGATCTCTTCGCTGTTCGCGTTGGCCTCTAGGTTATGGTTTTGGGTGAAGTCTAGAGCGCTCATGAAGCAATTCGTTTCGTTTGGTGTGTATGTTGCGTTGGTGACTGGCATCCTGTTGTGTTTACGGGTGAAGAAGGATCCGTCTAAGAATTTGTCGTGGGCGAGCACGCTCAGATATTGTTGAAGAAAGGAACTCTTCTTCTAAAGTGATAGTCGGTATGGGAGTAGTTACAGACCCAAATCCTTTTGTGGGATCGTTGCGGTTGCCCAGATTCCGACCCCTTCCTCCTCTCCTGCCGCCCCTACGAACGCCTCTGAAACTACCTCGACCTCCATATCGGCCCGCGCATGTCCACGGCCACGTCCCCGTCTTGGTACAGGGTTAACAGGACTCCCTGTTGTGTTTGGAATGACCTCGGCCATAAGATAGGATTTTATCTAATCGTGTGAATGTTGACGGTGTCTGCGCGGCCCAAAATCACTTTTGAACAAAAATGAAGTTATGAGCAAGTATTGAGACTGTCAGCTATTGTCCTGTCGGATCAGGGGCGTATCGAAAGTTCCGAAAGCAGGCTTCTGCGCCACCAAAGATCTGCTTCTGAGGGCACATATGTACGAAATTTCGTACATAAGGTCTTGGTGCCAAGATCCAAGAATCTCAGTATGTACGAAAAATCGTACATATGAAGTCTAGGGATATGAGGTCATTTGTCACCTAGACACTAGGTGTTTTTAAAAGTCGGAAATTTGGAAATCGGAAATTGTACAGCAGGGCACCGATTTCCAATTTCCATCTTGGATCCGGTCCAAAACATTTTGGAAACTTTTTACGGACACCCAATCATGTCGCACTTACGTGGGGAGTATTATAGTATAGGCTAGGCGTACTCGTACAGTGTCGTTCCCTGCTTGATTAACGTACCATGCGTGCTCCCTTTCGCCGTCGTCTGGCTCGGCGGGCTTTCCCGATGCGCATACTATCAAAGATCGAAAAGCGAAGGCCCACCAGGGAGACAATGCAAGTTTTACTGTCGGCAGTCGTGCAAGCGACCATGAGATGCTGTGTTTTCCGTCAATAAGAGATTACAAACACACGAGAAAACTTTAATCTCAATGCACGTCTGGCAACTATTGGTGAAGATCTTTTCATAAGATTGTACAGGCTGTCACCCCACCAGTTTCGATATCTGTGCAACCAGTTGCGTGCAGAACTTGAAAGAACGCAAATCCGAAGAAATTGTTCCAACTCTACCAAAAGTGTCCAAACAATGCTCTGTATTACTATGCGAATTTTGGCAGGGAGAAGCTATTTGGACACAAAATGGCCTTACGGCGTGGAAAGGTCTACCACATATACATTTTTCATGAGACAATATAAGCGCTTAACAAAGTGCTTGCTCCAATTGAGTTTCCAGTATCAGAAACAGATTTCAGTAATGCAGCACGACAATTCCAACTACTACGTAGTTCTCCCTTAGAAGGCAATATAGCAGCTCTAGATGGTATTACAATGAAAATACGCCAGCCTACGTTGAACGACACGCCCGACCCTCTAAAATACTTCAATCGCAAGGGGTTCTATGCTTTGTGCGTACAAGCTGCCGTTGCCGCAAACTACATGTTTGTATTTGTGTCTGCTCGCCATGCCGGATGTACACATGCTTCAACGAGCCTTTCAAGCCACGTTACTGCACTCTGTGTCCTCATGGGCACGAATTGCTGCAGGTGATGCGTATGCCAACAGTCGGCATGTTCTGATGCCATATAGCGGATTTGGTTTATCGCAGAGACAAGATGCGTTTAACTTTTATTTCTCGTCCTGTAGGATAACGGTCGAACAGGCCTTTGGCATGTTTGTTTCTCGCTTTGGCTTTTTTTGCTCTCCCCTGCGATTTTGGGTGGCATGCAGCACACTTATTGTTGTTGTTTGCTGCATTATTCACAATTATTTACTGGAAACCAATGGTAAAACCTACTTTGAAACACTTGATACAGCCGAAAAGAACGAGGTACAGGGAACCCTTTTGTTCATTCACAGAATAGTTTACATTTGGAGCAAGAAATGCAGAGAGGGCGTGTCCGCATGAGAGAGAACACAGAAAAGAGAGAAAGAACTGCAGACACTCTATGCAGCCTTGGTCTTCTTCGACCACGAAGAAAACGATAGCTCCTATCGTTTCCGATTATATGCAATCAAGTTCCAAATCCCGGTGTCTGTAGTGTACTTTCAAGACTTTCAACGGTTCGGATACTTCTTTACTTCAATAAAATATGTAGACACAGAAATGATATCCTTGGCAGCGCCGTTGCCAAGAGCTGCCCCGCCCCTGTACCCCGCCCGCACTTGCCGCTTGTAGTACAATTTCCAAGTGGCGCTACTGTAATAGGCGGGCGCCAGGGGCCTCGCCGAGTATAGTAGTACGATGTTAACCAATACGGAGCATTTGTGGCCAGCACGTGTAGATGTGGCCACGTGGGAGCCCACGTGTAGTTAGTGGCACCAGCTAGTGCACGTGTGCACGTGGTGTGCGACCGATCGGTGGGTTAGTACAGTAGTCATTTTTAGTTACCGTAAGCTACAATAAGCTTGCTACAGTATGTACAGCTACTGTAGTCCGTCCGGTGCCACCGCCCTACTAGGGGGTATGAAATAGGGGGCACCGGTCTGGAGGTAAACCGAGGCAAGCACGCCTCCCCTTACTTCCTGCCCTAGTCCTTTCTCCGTACGGTTAAGTAAGACCTTCAGGTTTCCAGCGCGCCATCGGTCGTACTGCTCTACACCCCAGTACGACTGCGCGTGTCCTGCGTAGTGTACCTCCTTCGTCCTGTGCTTTCTACCGTTCCGGATTATTCTACCAGACGCTCCAGTGTAGCAGTTCCCCAGGCTCCCTCATTTTTAGGTACAGCCTGTACTTTTTCGTTTACGGTTTCGCGTCCCTACGGTCGTACCACATTTTTGGTACTCTTGTAGAGGGCTCTCCTGGGGTTTCTAGACCCTCACCGTCGAGCTCAGGAAAGAAGACATCCGATTCGGTACGTGGACAAGTTGAAAACACGTATCAACCCCTGGTTCAAGCAAGGAGTCAAGATGAATCCAACCGAAACCCCTGCGGAAGACTCTGGTTCGGAACAGGCAGTACTCGCTCCGGCTCAGCCCGGGGGAGTACGCGCAGCGGACCACCCGGGTCCGTGCGCCCTGTGTCGAAAACCCGGAGTCACTGCTACGGGTGACACTCGGTACAGGGCAGAACCCAACCAATACGGAGGGGACGGCCCCTGGGGCCTTCCCGGCCCTCGCTGGTCGAGCGGGTACCGAACACCGCTCCCAGTGGGCATAAAATACCCTCTGGCCACGCATGCAGGCGTGGCTGGAGGAAGCTCTCGTCAAAGAGGTTCCTCGCCACGTCGAGGGTGCGATTAACCGAACGGTACCGCTGCTTGTTGACGAACAAGTCCGGGCCGCCGTCACGTCCGTCATCGACGACGTCGTTGGTGCCCTCGTAGAGCGTGAGCTCCGAGAGGCACTCGACCCTGGAGATCATCTTACACCGTTGGGGCTGAGCCTCCAGACAGCTATCAACATAGCTGTCGAGACTCGCCTCGCCAACTTCAATCCGAACGGTACTGTAGCTGAGGCACCTCAACCTCCTACGACCGCTACGGCATCTTTCAAATTAATAAGAACTGGAACGGGAGATACAAGACCGACACAGGTATATATGGCCCCTCACCCGGAGGCGGACCCTCACCCGGAGGACCCACCTACATACCTGCCCGAACTTCATGGTGTTACACGGGGTCCGACAGACAAGGACCTGGTGACCTATGACCGATACGGAAGACAACCTCGCCATGAGACAGAAAATCTGACGAGGTATGGCGAGACAGAAAATCGCTCGTCTTTCCGTTACGGTCCCAAGTCCCGACGCACAAGGCGCGGGCCATTACTGGAGGAAGACGAGGAGTACTCCGAAGAAGAACCGTACGGTGACAGAAAAGCCGTCCGGCAAGATTACCGTCCCTATAGGTCTCGGGCTGGAGCCCGTCGTCGAGGAGGTGAATTTCCCTCCGACGGAAGCTCGCCTGATTCGACCAGTGACGAAGGTCGGCGCCACCCGGGCAGTCGGCGAGACCATAGCCACCGACGCAAGTGGTCCGGCTCAGAGGGCTACAGTACAGACCCCGAGCCGCACGACCAGGGGCGCCGACCGGGTAGAAGTTGTCGGACTACCGAACGGTCAGCCCCCACCAAGAAGGTCGATGTGATTAAACCGCTTAATGATTTATTCCCCAAAGCGGTTAATTACAAGACCTACCGGATGGAACGTCGCAGCGCCCGGTATAACTCCGAGGTCGCGCGCCATATCAGCCGTATTCGCAAGAAGCTGGACGTGCAGATGAAATCTCACACGTTCAGTGGACAAGATCCGATAGCGGTATTGGGCTTTCTTGCTCGGTTTAAGATGGCTTGCGACCATAATGAGGTAAGGCAGGGAGCTGCCGTATGGTGCTTCCAATTCTACTTAACCGGACAGGCGCATGCTCTACTGCAGTCCCGGCTTGTGGGTAATGCCATAACGGTGGACGCCGAGCAACGCCACATGCTCGAGAGTTACGAGGAGGTAGTCAATTCCCTTTTACGGACCTAACGACCCGACGAAACTATCGGCGAGGCCTACACCGAAGTGGTTTCCTTCCGTCAGAGTTCTAACATGGCGGAAGAAGCCTACAGCAATCAGCTGTGGGACAAGGCCCTCCGATGCGGTACTGTTTTCTCGGACCGTCGGCTCAAGTCGCTGTACGTCGAGGGATTGCTCCCAGCGACGTGCGCGCAAGTGCGGAATTATCTAGCGACACACGCCACGGTAGACTACCAGGCGGTCACTAGGTACGCACAAGCCATCGGGGAGACACACCGTTCGGCAAGGCGGCATTTATTGCCATCGAACGTCGCAAGATTGCCTTTAACCGCTCGGTAAGAAAGACTCCGGTGTTATCCGTCGAGTCCTCGTCGGAGGCCGCCTATACAGGCGCCTCACGCAACGCAGATGGAATATTGGTTATGACAAGCCCCACAGTACACGCAAGTACTGTGAGCTCGCCGCCAACAAGTTTCCATCCTTCTCCGGTACCGTCAGTGGGAGGGGCTGTAGCCCCAACGTCCACTGTAGCCGGTTATGGCCGCCGCTACGGAAGCGGGGACCAACGCGCAAGGTGGGGACCGCCTCCGTGCCGGTTCTGTCTGGACCCCACTCACCGACAGGAAAGCTGCCCTATTGTCGCGGACGCCTCGCTGCGAGCCCAGCTCTTAGCAGCGAGGGAAGCGAACTATCCAAAAGTTACCCATCCGACAGCGGCTTCGCCCTGGTTCTTCATTCAGTCGTCCACAGGGACCGGTGTGGCGAGGAAATCCCTCCTCTCAAACCACGCCGGTCAACCTGGTGGACGAGGGGTTCGACGGGGCGGAGAAGCTGGTCGCTGAGGAGGAGGAGGATCTCCAACTCACGGG